GGTTCATCTATTTGGGTCATCAAAGTGACTTTCATTTCCTGTATTCTCCCAAATTGGTTCCTATTCCACTCTCATAATTTTGCTCTTAATCTTTTTAAACTTCTTATGGAATCTGGCCCCTTTCCACTTCACCCCCCTCATCTCTTCACTCCACCATTCCTCAACCTTTTTAACAAAAACCAAGTGTGTCAACCACATATTTTCAAATCCAAACGGTTTTGGTCCACAACTAAAAGGTTTCTACCTTAGCTCAATAGGACAATGGTCAAAAGTAACTCTAGGCAAAGCTTTTGCTATCAAACCCTCCAATGACTTTCCCATCTTTCATTAAGAGAAATTTATTGAGCAAGTTAGGTATTCCTAGAAGTTGGACCAAGTAAAGTGAGCTTGCAATAGGGGAAGCTCCTTTAGCTCACTACTATTGATGAAAGCATTAAACTTCCTTACGCTGGTTGGGGATTATTTGACTCATTAGTAAAACGGATTACATTGAAATCCCCACCCAAACACCATGGGCCCTCCCATAGCCCTTGGTCTTCCCAAAACTCATTCCTCTCTTTGTAATTGCTTGGTCCATACACATTAGTTAACACCCAATTGAAACCATCCTCCACCAATCTAAACTTCAAAGACACCAAAATATTTCCTATTAATTCCTTCACTACCTCTACAAGATCCTCTCTCCAGAAAGTAACAATACTCCTTGAAGCACCCCCCCCCCAAGAAGGTGCAAAAGACCCATATTATTCCTCTTGACTTCCAAACACTTCTAGTCCATCTTCTATCAAGTTCAACTAATTGGTCTCTTGCAACATCACAATGTCAAGCCTTTCTCTTTTAACAAGATCCTTAATTATCCTTCTCTTTCTTGCACTCCCCAATTCCCTCACATTCCAACTAATGATTTTCATAGGAACAAAAAATTTGAAAACCCACCTAGCATTCCAGGCCCCTACTTAGAAGCCCTTCTTCTCTACCCTCTTCCGATAAATTCAATATCGCCTATGTTCGAGATCAATCTCTCTACCTCTATTCTTTTTTCCCTTTTTTTTCAGTTGTTTCCTACCCCCGATTTGCCTAGACACTCTCTAAAGTCTTTTAATTTCTCGATCTTTTCTGGATTTTCCTCCAAGGATTCTTCTTTGTGCTTGTACTCCTCAAGGAGGGAAGAAATTTTTCCTCATATCCTCTCTAATTCCTCCTCCTACAACTTCTTTAATAGTAACTCTCCCCCCTCATTTTCACAACCCTTAGCCACACTCTCAACTTCCTCTCCTTAAAACCTCATATTTGCCCGTGCTCTCTCCAAGGTCTATTTCTATGTCAAGCTTTCCTGGATTTCCCTCAACTAGTTCCTCTCTCTACTTGTATTGTAAAGAGCTTCCAATCTGGGCAGAAGCTAAGGTATGAACTAAAGAACCTGATGATGAAGATAGACCGGAATTTTCATCTGGTTTAGGTTGTCCCTCCCTCACGTGAGTTTTTAAGTTATCATGTGCCTTTGTCCCTGATTGGCNTGATGATGAAGATAGACCGGAATTTTCATCTGGTTTAGGTTGTCCCTCCCTCACGTGAGTTTTTAAGTTATCATGTGCCTTTGTCCCTGATTGGCCTTCTAACCTCAGCCCATTTACCACATTAGCAAATGGGCCCAAGGTTCAAAATATCAATACAAGCTGATACGCCGGTTGGGGCGTATCGGCCTATATCGAGGTCTTTTTTTAGTTTTTTTTTTCAAACTGGTTCAGAGAGGTCAGTTTAAGGCCCATCTACCCCTTGAACCAGGTTAGACTCCGAAACACCCACTATAGGGGCATATTGGGAGGCCACCGATACGATACATATCGGCCCAATACGTATTGATATTTTGAACCTTGGATGGGCTAAATGAGGTTGGGTCAAATAAAGCCTCATGCATGTTTGATTTTTCCTCCCAAATTCGTGGGCTCACTCGACTCTACAGGCCTACAATTACCAACCTGGTCTCACACGTGACTGTTTAAGTTAGTCCCCCTTCTGGTTTGATCCACTGGTTCACCTTTCTTTAAAATCACTTCCACCAGCCTAGTCTCATTATGCTTTACCTTTGAACTTGAACATATTGCGCTATTTGAGTCCCTTCTTTTGGTGCCACCCATCACCACCTGGGCATAGGTCCAGATAGGCTCTAGTCCATTTGCTTGGTCTTCACGTCTTTGACTAGCCAAACTGCCCAACTCTTTTGAAAGAACTAAAGCTTGCTTGTCCATTTTTGTAATATTTCTGTCCAACCACTAATTTTCCAATCCCAAACTTCCATGTAGCACCTATGCCTCCACCTGCTCATCTCCTTCTTGTCAACCCTCCTTCCACATTGCAGCTTCCAATGGAGGAAGCCAACCACACCGGGATAAACAGTCCATCCACACAAAAGGTCACCTTCCTGGGAATCCCCTCTAGTTTTACTCCGCTCAAGAGAAGGGCTGTTGAACGAAGATCTCCCCAAAATTCACCATCAAGGTGGGCACCACATAAAACTGCAATGAATGCTGCTACCTCATGTTTCCAAAGATGAAAAGTCAACTGAAACACCTGAACCACCACTCCATCTTCAGCTGAGAATGATTTGAGTTAGAGGAGGGAGTCCACTTAAACACATCAAAGGACCCCCAAGCTTCTTAAAATCTCATAGAAGCAGCTTCCACCAAATTTTCAAGGGGATCGAGCATTGCTTTAAGATTGCCAAAAGGAGTTAATATGAAGGTGCTTCTTACCTCAATTTACACTGCAGAAGATCAGCAACTCTCATCCAATCTGAGACTTGTTTCTCAGCTTCAACTACTAGCATTCTTTCCCAATGTTCTCTCCCGAGATTAATGCTCACAGTGGGAATGGTTGTGCTGTGAGCCAAGGCAATAGATTCATGCTTTAAACCCATAGGCTCAAAGGGAGCTTTATCTACTCCCACTTGTGAGATCTCACATTTTTCTGCCTTCCAGCATAAGAAGTCCCTGAAAACCTACAGCTACCCTTTTCCATCCTTGGCTATTTCTTCCTTCAGGAAAACACACCATTTGCTTCTTACCTTTGGCAAAGAACTCTAAGAGAGTGATGTTGGAACCTTAAACATTCCTTCAACACTCCAGTACATAACTTCTTCCTGTTATTGTAGTCCTTGCCTTCCAGCTTAGTTTCTTTCCTTCGTCTGCAGCCTCAGCCATAAAGGCTTTGAGCCATTCAACCATCTCTCTTCTTTCCACCAATATAATTGTCGTCTCCCTTACCTTCAAGCTAGGTTGTCCCGTGATTTTCAACTCCTCAAACAGAAATTCCTTGGCCTCCACTTTCAGAACATTCCTCCACCTTGAGGTCGCCATGAAGCCTTCTTCCATCTCACACTCAACTTTTTTCACATCAACAGCATCAGTTACTCTCTCTCCCATAGGTTTCTAGCATTTGTTTTTGCAGACTCATACATTTTCTATCATATGGTTTCTCCAAATCAATGAAAACCATATGAAGATCTCTCTTCTTCTCTCTAAACTTTTCTATCAATTGTCCTAATAAATGGATTCCATGGTTAATCTCCCTGGCATAAACCCAATTTGATCTACTAATATTATTTTTTTTCAATTTCTGATATACTTGTTTCATGTCAAACTTAAGATCAATTATTCTTTAACAAACTTTAGATCAATCATTTATTTTGGGCTGTATTGTAATTTTGCTGTTTGTATTTGGGAGAGTTTAGAGAGTTTATCTCTCCCCTTATCCCCTTTGTACACTTTCTTTATTATTATAATAAATCAGTTTCTTTTATTCATAAAAAAAGTTTCACACTGTGCCTCATGAGCTTAATTCCTCAATAATTATTACAACTTTGTGCGTTGCCCTTGTTTTTAAATATAGACATCATAATGCACTTTCTCCATTCACCTAGAATCTTCTTTGTTTTCATTATCTTATTAAATAGTTTAATTAGCTATAATAAACCTATCTACCCCATATCTTTCCACACTTCTATTGGAATACCATCAGGTCCTAACACATTTGCCTTCTTAATTTTGTTTAGTGCCTCCTTCACTCCAACAATACTAGTTTTATGAAGGCAATATGTTACTTTTTAGTACTATTAGAGTTACTAATCCCTCCTCCACTAGCACCCACTGCATATTCTTCATTTAATTTTTCAAAAACGTTTTCCATCTTTCCTTAATTCTAATCTTTTATCAAGACCCTTTAATCTTCCCCTTTAATGCATCTAACATGGTTTAAATGCCTACCTTTTCTTCTTCTCATTTTTTCCAATTTATAAATTCTGTTCTCTCCCTCTTTGGTGTTGAATTTATGAAATAGCTAATCATATGCCTTAATTTTAGCTTCGCTCATTTTCTTTTTAAACAGCATTTCTTATGGTTTTATATTTTCCAAGTTTTCTGCATTTTTAGTCTTTTGTCATTTTTTATAGCATTCTCATTTTACTTTGATTATATTTTGAAAAAGAAAAAAAAGAAAGTCCAGGATAAACTTAGAAAAACTATTCCGCTTCAGAAGAGGTCAACACCTAATCAATGATTCAAAAAAATAAAGGAAAGAAAAGAAAAGAAGAGGGAAAATCATTCGCTTCCTAATTATCAAAAAAACATCATTCACTTCCTAGGCTGTGAAATACGTACGCTCCATATATTGGTGTTTTCCCAAATATTCATTTGAAACTTCAGTAGTTGGAAGTGTGAAGGACCAAAAAATTCCAGAGTCTCTAAATTTTGATAAACTGCACCGACACAATTGTCCATGCTACGACCATAAAGAGAATGAAGAACACCAGCGGAAAAAGTCTAGCCACATTCGACACGTACATTGAAAAATTCGTCTACCACAACTAAGGACGGGGCATTTCTCAAACCAAACTAGTTAAATTCAAAAACTAATAAATAGAAGGTCCAAATCAAACAATGGAAAAGTAGTCATATAATCGGAAAAACCAATCCACCTCTCTAGTCTTTGGTAGTTTGGCGTACCTTAAGACGATGACACAATGTGAGAAAATCGATGGCCGAAGAAGCTGACGATACGCCCGAAGATTCAGCTTCGTTCTTCCCCAGATTCCCCAACCCGTTTGATCCAAACCCACCACCATTAGAAGGGACCGAAGAAATACTTGGACCTGAACCAGAATTTATTGCTTGGGATCGGACGGTGAGGATTCTCGGAGTTTCGTGGCAAAATCCATACTTTAATGAATGACGAGAAAGAAGCAGAGATGGAGAGCGAGCAAAAAGGCAGCGATGAAGAGAGGTTGAAGACGAAGATGAATACGACAAATGAGAGAGAGATGGATTTGCCGCCATTGTGGTCGCAAAAGATCCCAATTCCCAATCACAAATCTCAGACAATGAAATGCGAGACCAAGCTTTTCAAGTTCCCTCTCCTAAACATTTTTCATTTCGTTCTCTCTCTCGTGTCTCGTATCGTCTCGTTGTGCCGCTCAAAAAAACCGCTTCGTCGCCTTGATATGCACGTGTCTAACAGACGATGTGTCACTTTGAGAATTTATTAAAACACCCTCGTTTAGGAATTCATATAAACATTTCGACGTCAACTTGAAATTCTGAATAGTGTTGACGGTTGAGTGGGTGAAGCAGTTAAAATACTGACGTTCTTGGATGGAAATCTAATTTTCTCTGAATTCAGAGAAATCCATGTTTATATATATAGCAATACAGTGCACGTCAGCATGCCTCTTCTTGTTTCTAAATTGTTTCTAATTCTTATTTATCTTCTAAATTATTTTTAACTCCTATTTATCTCTTAAACTATCTTTAATTTAGTAGAGAGATTCTCTTCTAAACTATCCCTAACTCCGGTTTATCCTCTCCCCCATTTTTTATATATATAGATCTAAAGAAAGTTCCAATTAAAAATTTTCAAAATTATTTAAATATTATAACAAAATTATATACTAAGTTTAAAATATTTATTCAAAACACAAAAATTAATTATAATAGATTTAATAATATTCATATTAATGAAAATTCTATATTTCTATAAAATTCATCATGAAATTATGTAGTAACAATATAAATTATAATTTTATGAATTGTTCAATTTAAATGTTATTCAAATAATAAGAATTTAACATTAAAAAATAAAACATTATTTAAGTATTTCAATAACTAAATATCCTAAATAAAAAAATATTCAAAATAGCTACATAATTATATAAAAATATTTAATATTATGTAATAACATTAAAATAATGAAAATTCAAATAATGAAAATTTTTAAATATTTTACATGTTATTTAAATATTTAACAAGAATAAATTTTAAATAGTTAAAATAAAAAATTTATGTAATAACTTTAAAAAATTTCCTAAAAGTAGAAAAATAATTATAATAGATTTCATAATATTCGTATAGATAATAATTAAATATTTTACAAAATTAATAACGAATTATGTAATAATAGTACTAATTATAATTTCATGGATTATTAAATTCAATAAATAATTAATATTTTAAAATTTTAAATAACTAAATAATATTGTAAATAACTAATTTCACTTATATCAATTAGTAATTATAGAAAATAGCATTCAAAAAAATTGATAATGTATATTCATTATATATTTATGTATAATAAAATTAATATTTATTTTATTTTTAGTAATTATTTAGTGTATTTTTGGATAAACATGTTTTCAATAATTATTTATAAATCTATCTTTGTTTTGTTATTTAACAGAAAAAATCAATTATTATTGGAGATTAAAAAAACTATTATTTAACTTTTGAAGTTTAATTTGTCATATTTATTGTATTTTTGTTATAAATTTGTTTTTAATAATTATATATTTTTTATAATTTATAGATTAATATTTATTGGAGATTAAATTATTATTTGAGATTACACTATTTAGTGATTAATTTAATATATTTTTAGTTTTTATTATATTTTTGTAATTATTGTATTTTTATTAGATATCTATTATATTTTCATTATAAATTTAGGCTTTGTTTGGATAGCCTTTTATAAATACTTTCATACTTTTTAATGTATAAAAGTATGAAAAACACGACATAGTGTTTGTATTATGCACTTTATACTTTTTGTTTTTATACTTTTAGAAGTATGAAAAATCTCAAAAGCACAAAGTTAACTTTTTATACTTTGTGCTTTTGGTGAAATTGTGTTTTCGTTTTCATGCGAACGGGTCGTCATGTGTGACCACCCTTTAATAAACTATCGACCTTACCTCTACTTGTTACGGCTAGAATCAGAGTGCCATAACTGGTCTCACCTCAAAACCACTAGAAACCATCACCATAAGTACAAACATGCATGCTTTTGTCAAACAAAAAATGGTACTTTTGTTTTGAAAATCATACTTTTCAATTTTTTACTCAAATGGTTTTCAAAGAAAATTGCCAACTTGATTAGTGAAAACCCACCAACTTGGGTTGTATCAGTTTGGCTCTATTTTTTGTTTGGTTTGTTTTTTCACAATATTTAAACTTAAAAATTAAATTTAAATTTAATAAATTATAGTGACATTATTAAAAATAAATTTATGATATAAAAACATTTTAGACTATGAAATATGGGAATTTTCCTACTTTGTTGTATTAAAAAATTAAATTTAAAATATAAAATATTAATATATTTATGGCCGGGTCGGTTCAGTTTTGATCGGTTTACAAATGGCCAAACCAAAACTGACCTAACTTGGTTGGGTTGGAAAATTGCTAAGTCAAAGCTGACAAGAAAATACTAGACAACCAACCAACTCAGGTTGAGTTTGATCATATTGGTTATTAAAAAGTTAAAATATAAAACAATCATATATTATTATGTATTCATATTGTTTAACTTTCGCTTAACAAAGCCCGTGCATCGCATGGGTCCCCGCTAGTACTTAATATAAGGGAGAAAAGTCTTTTCAATATTTGTAGGACTCTACATTTTAGTCTTAAAAAATTTATAAAATTATTAACTGTTTAGTAGAGCTCACTTAATTGTCTTGAACCCTAACTCAATGTGTGTGTGTGTGTGTGTGTATTAAAACAATAAAGTCTATAATTTTTCTCCTTTTTTTGAATTTTAAATTTTTTTAATCAATGTCATTTTTTAAACTACCAATTAGAAACTCTACTTTCCCTAAAAAATCTTCATAAAATCTTCCTCTCTCTTTCTCTCTCTCTCCCTAGTCTCCCACACGTTCCAATAATCTAAATAACCTAGATTATTTAGTAGAGAGTTTCTCTCCTAAATCATCTCTAACTCTTATTTATCTTCTCCCCCACTTTTTATCTACATCTATCTAAAGAAAGTTTGAATTAAAAAATTTAAGAATTATTTAAATATTCTAACAAAATTACATAATAACTTTAAAATATTTATTAAAAAACAAAAAATAATTATAATCCAATTAATAATATTCATATTATTATTAATTATATATTTTTATAAAATTCATTATGAAATTATGTACAAACAATATAAATTATGGTTTTTTGGATTATTCAATCTAAATGTTATTCAAATAATAAAAATCTAACATTAAAAATTAAATATTTCAACAACTAAATATCTTAAATAACAAAATATTAAAATTAATATTTTAAATCAATTAATAATATATTTTAAATAGTTACTGAATAACTTTCAATTATAATAAATAGATTAAGATTTTAAATATTTAGTTAAATAACAAAATATTTAAATAACGAATTATTAACATAACTATATTTTAAATAGTTAAAATAACAAAATTATGCATTAATAGTACTATAATTTTATGGATTATTAAATTCAACAAGTAATTAGTATTTTAAATTTTAAATAATGATATTATTTCTATAAATAAATAATACTGTAAATAATTAATTTCATTTATACCAATTAATAATACTTGAAATAACTTTCAAAAAATATATTGTTTATTAATAATAATTTTAAAAACTTGATTGATATATACTAAAAATAATAATTATTGTGTTTCAGTAATTATTTATTATTTTTTGTGATAAATATATATTCAATAATCATGTATAAATCTGTTTTTGTTTTGTTATTTAACAGAAAATTTTCAATAACTATTGGAGTTTAAACTACTATTGTTTAGCTTTTTAAATTTAATTTATTATGTATTTTTGCTATAATTTTTTAATAATGATTGGAGATTAAACTATTGTTCACGGGTTGGTTCAGTCCATTTGTAGTTTGTTTGGCCAACCAAATCGACTTGGTTAGGTTGGGGAGTTGGTCACTTAGGTTATATCTGTTTGGGTCAATTTCCGAATTGGTCAATCAATTTAAAAGATTTAAACTTAAAAAATTAGGTTTAAAAAGTTAAGTTTAATTTTTTTTAAATTACAATGGCATTATTAAAAAATTAAATTTATGATATAAAATATTTTAACATAAAAATATTGGAATTTTTCCACTTTCTCATATTATAAAATATATTTAAAATATAAAATATTAATATATATCTATGACTGGGTCATTGATTTTAGTTAGTTTACAAATGGCCAAAGCAAAATTGATCCAACCCAGTCGGATTGGGAAATTGTTGAACCAAATTTGACTGGAAATACTAGAAATTAGGTTGGTTAGTTTCATTAGTTTGAATAGGAATGACAATGAGGAAGGGCAAGGACGAGGAGCCTCTCCCCATCCCCGTTCCCGTGAAAATCCCCATCCCCGTGTACACGGGGATCCCCACTCCTTGTGATTATTTATAATGTCAACCATTATGTTTTTATTTTTTATTTTATTTAAAAATAAAATAAAATAATTAAAATTTATAATCCAATTAGAAAAGATTCAACCATATTTTTAAAAATATTAACATATAGACGTATGTGTACATATATACATATATAAACGTATGTGTGTATACATATATATTGGCGGGGGTCAAGGTCCTTGCGGGGCAACTAATGCTCTCCCCGTCCTTGCCAATGGGGATGAAACTTTCCCCATCTTCGTCCCTACCAGGGGGGGAATCATCCTCATCCATGCCCCATTCGGGGCAGATCCCCACGGGGATTAAGAAAATGGAGAAAATTGCAATCCCTATGTTTGATAAACAACCCTATCTAAAATTAATTATTGTTACTTTTATATTATAAACAAAATATTAAAAGTAGTATATAAAATATAACTGATTATTAATTATTATATAAAACAATTATATACTTTTACATATTTCTATTGTTTATCTTTAATTTCTATGCATCTCACAAATCCCCGCTAATATATTATAAATCTAGTCAAAATGTCTTAATTGAGAAAGTTTGTGGATAAATGTCGTAGTTTAATCTATAGGGTTATTACCGATAAGGAGATTTTAATTGGTGCTTGATTTTATTGTATATAAGAAACTATTGAAAAGAATAAATCGCATCTTCATTGTTTTAATTCGTAGAGATATGATCATTGAATTTGTTGCTGGAGATAATAAACCCAATATTTTTT